GAAACCTACACGTCACTACTAATTTAAAAATACTAAAGAATAAGAACTAAGTAACCCCAAACTAAAGCGCACTAACACGGCTCAACCGAACTCACCGTTACTCTTAAATATTACCTAAGTTCATGTTCTTCAAGGTCTAAAATCACCCAGGACATGGGTTCAAATTGAAACTTAATTAAAAATAACTTTAAGATAAAACAAAATTTTAAACTAGTTTTCTCAATCTATTTACTAACTTTGAAAATTAAAAACCCACTCCACGTTGTTCGAAAAATTCTAAAACCCTCCATATATCAACTAATATATCCTAAGTTTCAAACCCAAATGGTTTCACTTGATTTGCATATCAAAATAATTATCTACAATTAATTATATCTAAACAGGTTATTTTCTACAGCACTTTAATGAAATTAATGGTTCTCTTAGTATACATGAGCAATCAACGCAGGGCCAAAAACGTACGAAACTAGACTCGTAACCGGTTCTAATGAAGCTGATTTGATAATTTTCGGATTTATACCCAAAGAGACAACACTCCCGAACTTACTGTTTAAAACCAGTTTTCTGGACAAATTTGAACGCATCAGTTTATATGGATTTTGACTCCCAAAAATTATGAAAAAATTCAGATATGCAATTCAATATGTAATTAATCTACTGTAAAAATTTCAGTTCAAAATTCATTCGTTTGATATGGTTTCTTGATTTCTAAAGTTTGCTTGCAAATTAATATTCTTAAGAACAACATTATGAATTCAATTAAAATTTCTAGAATACTATCCCAATCAGTCAATCCATTCCTTTTTCTTCCACCAACTCATAACACCCACAGCACCATAACTATGTAAACAACATATTATAATAGAATAAGAATAGATTGATTAATACCTTAGAGAGTTGTTGAGACACAAGGGTGCTTTATCTCCCTCTCTCTCTTCTATCTCTTGCTCTCTCTTCCTCTCTCACGTTTCTACTGTTGCTGCTGCTATAGTGTTGATTAGGAACCCTAGGGTTGTTTTATATATATATATATATATATAAACAAACCCTAGGGTTCCTAATCAACACTATAGCAGCAGCAACAGTAGAAACGTGAGAGAGGAAGAGAGAGCAAGAGATAGAAAAGAGAGAGGGAGATAAAGCACCCTTGTGTCTCAACAACTCTCTAAGGTATTAATCAATCTATTCTTATTCTATTATAATATGTTGTTTACATAGTTATGGTGCTGTGGGTGTTATGAGTTGGTGGAAGAAAAAGGAATGGATTGACTGATTGGGATAGTATTCTAGAAATTTTAATTGAATTCATAATGTTGTTCTTAAGAATATTAATTTGCAAGCAAACTTTAGAAATCAAGAAACCATATCAACCGCCACCACCCACCACCACCCGCCATCCGCCACCCACCTGCCACCACCATCCACCACCTGCTGCCACCACCACCACCACCACTGTTATTTAAATATTATTTAAATATATTTTTTTTAATAATAGTTATATTTTATTTAAATTAGTATATTTAAATAATAGTTATATTTAAATTAGTATATTTTTTAATAATAGTTATATTTTATTTTAAAAAAATAGAGGGCAAGTTATTATTTTGTTATAATAATAGTTATATTTTATTTAAATTAGTATATTTAAATAATAGTTATATTTAAATTAGTATATTTTTTAATAATAGTTATATTTTATTTTAAAAAAATAGAGGGCAAGTTATTATTTTGTTATAATAATAGTTATATTTTATTTAAATTAGTATATTTAAATAATAGTTATATTTAAATTAGTATATTTTTTAATAATAGTTATATTTTATTTTAAAAAAATAGAGGGCTTTAAATATATTTTTTTTAATAATAGTTATATTTTATTTAAATTAGTATATTTAAATAATAGTTATATTTAAATTAGTATATTTTTTAATAATAGTTATATTTTATTTTAAAAAAATAGAGGGCAAGTTATTATTTTGTTATAATAATAGTTATATTTTATTTAAATTAATGGTGAGAGGGAAAAAAAATATACTTACTAACTTGCCCTCTATTTTTTTTTAAATAATAAATCTTACCTCTAAATTAATTAAAAGACCCTCCAATAATATTTAATTCGCACTTAAAAATTCACGATAAAATATTTGAGATTTATAAAATTATTATTATCTAATTATTTATTTTCTTTGCATATTCGGGTTCTCACATTGCTTTTCTGGTAAAGTTCTACACTAAGGGGGTGGTTTTTTCGGTCAATGATTTGCTTTATAACTTGAAATCTATCCGGGGGCTTTAAGTTGTGGTTGATGCTGTCTATCTCTTTCTTTTAGGTAATAGTGGTTGTTGTTGTCGATCACCTTGTTTTGTTGTGGTTGCTGCTGTGTTGCCCTGTGTTGTTGTTGGTTGGTTTCTCATCAACTAACTTTTGGCTTGTGCTAGCACATGATTGAGTGACTTTTTTGTGCCAATCTCGTTGGGATGAGTAAAATTCACTATAATACTATTAACACTGCTTTTATTTATCTTTATTGATGTAAGATATAAGAATTTTCTCCTTGGTTCTCATTCAATAAAGTTTTATTTTTGCAGGTCAAAAAAAAAGTATATATGTACTGGACCAAACTCCTCTTCAGTTGATTTTTCAATTTGAGGGTGTTGTTGGGTCTCTGTGTGCCCACCATGGAGCTCGTATCGATAATTTGAACCACTCAGTATGTAGGACTTATCGAGTACTTCATCCTTGTAAAAAATTACGTTACTTAGATATCGATAAACATTTGATTGGATCACATATTATTGTATGAAATCTATTACATATATAGCTGTTTTTCATTATTGTTTAATACTAGTTTGTGCAACACTGACAAGTGAAATAAATAGGGAAATTAATTATATGTTAATTTAATCCAAATAGGCATTCAAATAACATATGGATCCATACTTGAGACCATAAACAATTATTTATTCCATATGGGTCCATACTTTCCAGCCAAGGATGATCAGACATCCACATTAATTCAAAACATTTGGGATATAATCCATTTTAATAATAAAACCATATCATGATCATATATTTCTTCTATCAAAAGCGGTAAAAAATGATATATAAATTCATTTTTTAAATTCACATTTTAGACTTAATGATGTATAAATAATAATTAATTATTAATAAGAAAATATATATGAGAGAGAGAGAAAAATAACGCATGAGAGTGATTAGTTGATTGATCATTAAACTTGAAAAATAAATCTGATTATTATTATTATTATTATTTTGGGTTTTCAATTTTTTTAAACTCTTAGGCCCCGTTTGTTTTGGGAGATAGAATGGAGGGGATTGATAGTGAGGGGATTAATAGTGAGGGGATTGTTAGTGAGGGGATTGATAGTGAGGGGATTAATAGTGAGGAATTATTAAATTATTTTTATATAAAATAATAAAACAAATAAAAAAATATAAAAAATTAAATATTATATTTAAAAAAAAATTCCCAATATATAAAAAATAAAAAAATTCCTAATCCCCTCACTATTTTCTAATACCATCTCTACCTCCTCCTTACCAATCCCCCTTCAAGGGTATTAGCAATACCAAGGGACTAATAGTCTCAAGGCTTTCTCTGCAAACAAACAGGGGTTTTAGTAATACCTTGGTATTACTAGTCCCAATACCCTCCCTATAGCCCAAAACAAACGGGACCTTAAATTTTGATGGTTGGTGAGATAATCTATCACATTCACGCTCTCTCTCTCTCTCTCTCTCACACACACGCACGCACGCACTTACCTGGACATGAGAATACTGATGTGCTGTGACCACTCATGCAGTTGACATCAAGTTTGTTTTGATGATTTAAATTATTGTATTGTAAAATTTATTGAGTAAAGTATTTCTGACAAAAATTAAGCTAATTCGACATTCATAACCACATGATTAGGGTTTAAAAATAAATAATTTATTATCAAAATTATGTTTACTGTTTATTTTTTAAAAAAGAAATGTTATATTTTTTTATAGTTACAGATATCTGATTAATTTAATTTTTTTTATAAATGATCTACTTGACGAACCTTATAATATAAATAGTTCAAATCATTAAAATAGACTCAGTATTGACCCCATGAGGATCACAGCAACCTATTTTAGGCACAACAATAATGTCCCCAAATCTTATTTATCTTCATCACTGAAAAAATTTATTTGATCTATTAGCTTGAACTTCCGTTAGTGTGCAGTAAATATATTTTAGGTGTGACCGACATTACCTTAAATTTAAATATATATTAAGACTTCGTTTGGGAATAGATTTTTTTAGTAATTTTTTAATTTTTTGGTTAAAATATGATATAAAAAAAATTACTATGTTTGGAATGATTTTTTATGAAATGATGTGCAAAAGTAAAAAGAAAAAAGAATTTTTAATTTTTTAATATAAATTATTAAATTTTTAATTTTTTTAGTAAATTTTTAATTTTTAAACTAAAAAGTACCCTCGCCGAACAAGATGTAAGTATTTAAATATTTTTTTTCTCACTTTTCAAAATATTCTTATTCGCTGAACAAATAACAATATTAAATTTGAAACCCATTAGGACATTGAGTATACACACAAGTGATGGAATCTATTACAATAATATTATATTGACAAAAAATTAATAAACATATATAATTATTTTTAATATAATAAGGGTAGCATTATATTTTTAATATAAAAAAAATATGTGTAAATTATTTTCTATCATATTAATAACTAGAAACTAGTAATAACAACTAAGAAAAGGACAAAAACAAGAAAAATGTTAAATAAATAATCAAATATCTCACATGACGTGGGATTTGTAAAATTATAATCTCATACTCATAAAATATTTGATAATTTATTTGATAAAAAATTCGATATTCTTTAACACTACCCAAAAACAATTCAGCAAAGTCAAAGTAAAAGTAAAAAGTTTTCACCCAGCAAACATCTATATAAGGGCCATGACCTTGCACACACCCAACTTACTCCATTCCCCCAACAAACACCACTTGTCATTTCTCATGGCTTCCTCATTCTATTCCATTTTCCTCTTCTCTCTTCTATTGATCTCCTCGGCGTTAGCTAAGAACTCTTTCCGTCCCAAAGCGCTAATTCTTCGAGTGCAAAAAGACCCCTCTACCCTCCAATATGTCACCCATCTCAACCAGAGAACTCCTTTAGTCCCTGTGAGTTTAATACTAGACCTTGGTGGTCAATTCTTATGGGTAGACTGTGACCAAAGTTATTCCTCCTCCTACTACCCCGCTCGATGTCGTTCTGCCCAATGCTCACTTTCTGGCTCTACTGCATGCACCACAGAGTGCTACTCATCCCCTAAACCAGGATGCTACAACAACACATGCAGTCTCTTACCCGATAACACCGCCACCCGCACATCCTCAGACGGTGAGCTTGGCTCTGATATCGTCACCGTTGAATCCACTGACGGGAACGACCCCGGGAAGGTTGTCTCTGTGCCTCACTTTCTTTTTGTTTGTGGGTCCACATTTCTCTTGGAAGGCCTTGCTAGTGGTGTTAAGGGCATGGCTGGCCTTGGAAGGACTAAAATTTCACTCCCTTCTCAATTCTCTGCTGCTTTCAGCTTCCACAAAAAGTTCGCTATTTGTTTGAGCTCTTCAAATAATGGTGTCACGATCTTCGGTGATGGACCGTATGTGTTCCTTCCTGGTATTGATGCCTCAGACTCTCTCAGTTATACCCCTCTCATCCTCAACCCTGTGAGCACTGCCTCGGCTTATTCTGTTGGTGATGCTTCTTCGGATTACTTCATCGGAGTACAATCCATCAAGATCAACGAAAAAACAGTACCCATAAACACAAGTTTACTAACCATAGACAGTGAAGGCAATGGTGGAACCAAGATCAGCACTGTCAATCCCTACACAATCTTGGAGACTTCAATCTACAAAGCTGTCACTAAGTTCTTCATCAAAGAGCTCTCTGGTGTTCCAAGAGTGGCATCGGTGGCACCTTTCAAGGCGTGTTTCAACTCCAACAATATCTCAAGCACACGGGTTGGGCCGGCCGTGCCTTCCATTGATCTTTTGTTGCAGAGTGAGAGTGTTTTCTGGAGGATCTTTGGTACAAACTCAATGGTGCAGGTGAGTGATGATGTTTTGTGTCTAGGGTTTGTGGATGGTGGTGCAAAACCTAGGACTTCTATTGTGATTGGAGGGTACCAAGTTGAAGACAACCTTCTGCAGTTTGATCTTGCAGCATCAAAGCTAGGGTTCAGCTCATCACTGTTGTTTAGGCAAACAAATTGTGCCAACTTCAACTTCACATCCAATGCTTAGAGAGACGGAGAGTGCGCGTGCGTGAGTTTGAATTTCAATAATGTTAGCATACAATATCACATTTTAAAAATGTCAAAGTATATAGAATTAGAACACGAAAATAACATAAAAGATATATTTTGTAGTTGAAATTTATTTTAAGTGTTGTCTACATCACACTAAAGATGAATTTCAGTCACATAATATATTTTCTATATATTTCGTGTTTTAATTTTATTTTTGAATATTGTTGCTTTTTAAATAAATGGCCATGTGATTGCTTGTGTGGCCTCACATATGTATTCGTTTTTTAATGCAACTTTTGTCATAAAATTTGCTGCATTTTAGTGTTTTTTATGGCTTTTGTGATGAATTTTCTATTGTTTCAGAAATAATCAAAAGCAAAACTATGTATTGCATTGATGCTTCTTGTCCCTATCTTTAGAATAATATGAGGATATATTAATCTAATCTAAAATGATTTCTCTAATTTATATTTCATATGGGTCTAATTTTTGTACTTGAGCAACACTACTCTCAATATAAAGTAAGGAAAAGGCTCAGAGCCTAATTCCCTCCAAAGTCTCAAATTCAGAATCTCCTAGTCCCAAATAATTTCTTAGGACCAATTCATACAAGGCATTGCCTTGATTTTTATTGGGCATCCGCTAGTGGATAGATGGTGGGATTGATCTCTAGATTAGTCGGTCCAATAGGTTGAAAACCTAATTACCATTAAAAATATATATATATTTATAAATATATAGATTTTGTAAAACTCTTATCTTTTTTTTTTTTTTTTGTAGTCTATTTTTTTGAGTTGAAAAAATAAATAAGCTGAAAACTAAATAAATCTAACCAATTAGCATATGCCAAACTACAACAGCTCACAATATTTTCAAAACTTAATTTAAAAGAATTGCAAAAAAAAGTTTTTTTTTTTCAAACGGGGCCAAATAAATCAAGAGCTAGTGACTTTGTTGGAACGGGAATTGTTTTCCTATTAATCATTAATGGGGCACTTACCAGTAAGTCTCATACACAAAATTCAAAATCTATCTAATTTCAAAACAAAACATTTGCACCAATTAATCCTATATAATTTTAATTGTTACCAAAAAATCTCTTTTTTTATATATATAAATTTAAAAACGTTGTTACATCCCACTACTGCTAGACTTTCCGTCATACGGTCACTAGATACTCCTTAGAATGTTCAACACTACCGGGAAGTTCGTCGGGAGTATCGCCAAGAGTTCGCCGGAATATCGCCGAAGTGTTCTGAATATCAATGGAAGTCGCCAAAATGTCCAGAATATTCACTAAACGTCAAGAAAACCTTCGGATATTCATTGGAATATCCAAAATATTACCCTGAAAAAAAGATAAAAAAAGAAGAAGAGAAAGAAAAATAAATAGAGAAATTGTGTGAAAAAATATAACAACATATGCTAAATATTGATAACTTGAAAGGAAAATAAATAAATAAATAACAACAATGGGAACAGTATATATTATTTTTTAATTTGTGTAGGGTTTAAGTAAATAATCTCCAATATTGATCAAATTGAAAAACAAGTTTTGAAATTGTAAAATATTACAGTTTCAAAGTATGATTCTATTAAGCATTTATCCTTATTAATCAAACTGAAAAAAAGTTATGAAACTGTAAAATTTTAAAGTTCTAAAGAATGGTATGAAATTGTAAAATTTTACAGTTTTAAAGTATGATTCATTTCAGTACCAAAAAAACTGAAACTGTAAAATTTTACAGTTTTCACCGCCTGTAACTAAAACTCGAAAACAATTTGTTCAGAATTTGAAAATTTTCTTCATTAAAACAGGAAAATAGAAGTGTGTAGCAAAGAAAATGTAGAAAAATTTATAGATCGAAAGAAAGAAACAGATATATACAGAAGATTGTGCTTCGGTAATTATTTTTGGTTTAGATCTAGTCTGTTCTCATGTAGATCTACTCAGATCTGACATAGATCTGAGTAGATCTACATAAGATTTGAGTAGATCTACTCATCTTCATCGCCGAAAACTTGTCTCATTCGTCGTCGGCGATGGTGAAGCAAGGAATCGGTGGTCGGTGGTTGTCGGTGAAATCAATGGTGCTTGTCAGTCGCTGGTGACTATATGTTAGAAAGAAAAAAAGAAAGAGAACGAGAAGAAGTAAGGCGTGATTGCCAATTGCCAAAAAGAAAGAGAAAGAGACAGAGAAGAACACTACAAGAAAAATCACTTTTGGCGACTAAATTTTTAGTCGCCAAAAGTCGCCTTTTTACCTTCCCCGACTAAATTTTTTAGTCGCCGATTTTGTTGCGAATAAACGGTTGCAGAAGGTTTTGGCGACTAAAAAGGTTTTAGTCGGCAAAAAGACAGGTCTTTAGCGACCAAAGTTTTGGTCGCCAATACTCAATTCCACTATTTAAAATTATACATTTGGCGACTAATCTTTTAGTCGCCAATAGTTGATGGAACGCCGACCAAACTGTTTAGTCGCCAAAACAAATACTTTTGGCGACCAATAGTTTAGTCGCCAAAGGTTGTTCGGTGGGAAAAAAAAAAAGCTAACTTTTCTACTTTTTCTAAGATTCAAACCACCAACCTTCTACTTTCTAAACCTTTAGCAACACACTCCTTCCACTATACCACTACAACATCACATGAATATACATGCAATATATGTTATTTATATACTATATTGACCCATATTAATATAAAACTATATATATAAATATAATTATTTTTATGCAAGATAATTTATGTAAAAAATAAATTATTTACTAAAAAAAATTGAAGCCACTTTTGGCGACTAAACAATATAGCATATATATATGAAGGAAGATGGATTACGAAATCAAAATAAGAACATCAGATAAGAACTAAGCACTGGAATAACAATCAAAACATTTTTAACAACATTTTTAATAACAGAAAATAATTATGTTTAATCAAAACATTATGTTTAATCAAAACATAATCAAAACATTTTTAATAACAGAAAATAACTTACAATTACAATTGTAGCAACTGCAAGGATCTTAACTAGGTGCAAAGGGAAAATCTGAAAGGAGCAATATATTTAGTCGCCAATAATGTAATTTTGGGCTACTAAAATATTTTTTAGTAGCTAAATAAATAAGTTCTAGCTGAAAGTAGCATTTTTGGCGACTAAACCTGTTTTTAGTCGCCAAAAATGTCCCATTTTGGCTACTAAACTGAACTTTAGTCGCCAATTGCCTGTTTTTAGCTACTAAATTTTTTTTAGTAGCCAAAAAGCTTCACTTTCAACGACCAAACAATTTTTAGACGCCAAAACACGTAGAATCGGCGACCAAACTGTTTTTTAGTGGCCAAAACCTATACTTTTGGCTACTAAATTATTTTAGTCCCCAAAAATCGTCACTTTTGGCTACTAAAAAACCTTTCGTCGCTAAAACCCATACATTTGGCGACTAAGTCTATTTTTAGTCGCCAATAACTATACATTTGGCTACTAAACTCTTTTAGTCGCCAAAAGTCTTCACTTTTGGCTACTAATTCCATTTTAGTCGCCAATTGTGCTACTTTCAGCGACGAAAATTTGGTTTTTAGTCGCCAAAACTGCTTTTCCTTGTAGTGGAATGAATACACAAAGAGAATGAAGAAGAAAAACACGCAATGGACTTTTGAGAGTGTCCAAAAAATTATGAAATTAAATAGAGTTCTCCTATTTTAAATAAGACTTTCAGATAATTTTCCCATCATTTAATCAATATGTATATTAAAGCCCAAGCCCAAACGGTGAGTCTAGCAAGACTAGCAATTTATCGGGCCTCAGACATGGCCCACTTACAGATGCTGCTAAATGAAAGCCTAGGACGAAGCGAAGGATACAAAGTTGGGCCCGGCCAGGTCTGAAAAAATTGCACTACAATTTTCACAGGAGACCTAACATTAGTATACACTATGTTACTTCCTATTACCGCTTTGAAAATAGACTCTCCTAGATGCAATGTTGAAAGTTATAAACGACCTAAGTCAAATTCTCTTTAAAATCAATAGGTTTTTTCGTGAGGTTGCAGAATTTGATTCGACAAGTGGTATATTGGCTCTTCGGTACCAACTTAGTTGGGATTGAGTTTGTTTGGTTATGATACTTTTTGTATCTTCTTCCTTTATTAATGATTGTAATTGTATTGTTGCTTGATTATTATCAAAAAAGTGGTTCTTTTGTTGTTTCAACCAAAAAATTAAAAAAAATGGTCATGAATTCGAGTCACAGAAGGATTCTTGTGAACGAGGAATTGTTGACGATTCTAAAGGCATATTGTGATTGTCATAAAAGAAATAAGTGAAATGGAGCAAATTCTATCCAGTCCACACAAAAAGTGGACTGAATTGTGTAGTTTGGATCCATAGGGTCAACCACGGATTCTAAATTAATGATCTGAATCGTTTATTTTTTAAATTATAATATGTAGATCATTTGCATAAAAAAATTAAGTCAATTCAATAATCATAGTTATGTTATTTTATCACAAAAATGGATGGTTTAGTTTTCCAATAATTTTTTTTTTTTTTGGCAATAAATGTCATAAACTAACACGGTTAACGTTATCAAATTAATATAATTTTTTTCATAAATAATTTAAACACTGTAACCTAAAAAATAAGCCATTTGGATCATCAAAGTCAGACCCTTGGTGGGTCTCACAAGTTTGAATAGTACTATCCAATTCACAATAGACCAGAGAGAACTTCATCCCTAAAACTGTGTTTGGTTAGAGAATTTAACAAAAGAAATAACAAGAGAAAAGAAAATGCAGTCCCAATTTTTGTTTGGTTATAACAGAAAACACCGGGAAAAAGAAAGTGAGAGGAAAATACAATCTCACTTTTTGTCTTTTGATTCACTTAGGCTCTTTTCTTTCTCTATATCCCAACTTAACCAAACATAACTTGGAATTCAAATCCTATCAGTTCTTTCTCATTTTCTTACTATTTCCCTTTTTCCTTTCTATTTCCCTCATCAAATCTTCCAATGAAACCCTCTAATACGGACATATAATACCAATCCCAATTTTGGGTCTTGTGCTGGCATATGATTGGGCTTCCTTTGCCGTGCTAACCTAGTTGAGATTGTTTTGGTTAGCTATGATGCTTTTTGCACAGTCCTGCTTTGTTGATGTTAGTCTTGTTTTGTATCTTGATCTTTCATCAATAAAGTTTTTTTTTACTGATAAAAAAATAAAGTCCCAAAAAAAAAAAATGTTAGTAGAAAATGGTTAACCTCTTATGTGGAACACTGAAGAAGCATGAATGAGTAAACTCCTGTTTTTAAAAAACTTTGTTAGAACAAACACAAGATTTGTGTTGAAGCAACACTTCACCTTAATTACTCACTCACATTTCCATCCTTCATTGAGGAGCCAAAACAGTGTGACTACATAACTAACAAATCACCAAACCATAACCTCACTCTTTCCTCTATATACTATACACACATATATGTATATGAACAATGTTATAAATTCAAGAAAATTAACATGTGATTCAGATTTAATTTGAGTGCAAGACCCACTACAAACAATTAAATCTGAACCACGCATTATCGTTCATGATATATTTAGAGGTTGTTTGGGATGTCCTTAATAAGTGTACTTTTTTACTTTTTAGACTAAAAAGTTGAGGAAAAAAATATGATTGTTTGGGATAACTTTTTAACTTTTTACGAAAAAATGTGTATTAAAAAATTGTATAAATTAGTGTATAGGAGAAGCTTTTTGGTGAGTAGGCAATACGGTGGGCACTACGGTGGCAGCATTGTACAGAGTAGTGTATAAGAGATACTTGCCTCCTTTTCGGGCATTGAATTGGATGGTGTTGTTCGGCCCGTAGGGGCTCACTGTGGGTCTCTTTTTGCTAATCGGAACCGTTCAATGTGTATAACTCGTCAAGTACTATATGCTTATAAAAAATCACGTTAATCGGATATCGATAGCTATCTAATCGGATTAGTTTTTTTGTCAACCATTAACTGTAGCACCATCTATTTTTTTATACAAAAACTGATTTGATCATATAGTTAGCGATATCCGATATACGTGATTTTTTACAAACATATAGTATTCGACGAGTTCTACACATTGAACGGTTCAGATTATCAAAACAGAATCCGTGATGGGGCCCCACGGGCCAAACAACACCGTCTTGTTTGTGCACTCGCCTATTCCCTTTGTCCAACCAAAGTCAGCAAGTGAGTTGTACTTTTTTTGTGTAAAATTAATTTTTTTTATATTTTTTTTTATAAATAGTGATAACTTTTTAACTTTTTTAGTAACTTTTTGACTTTTTTAAAAGATGCCAAACCAGCCCTTAATAACAAAAAATTCAAAGTACCTAGATTTATCCTATATATGTATATATTTTCTAAGTGATGCAAGAAAAAAATGTACAATTTTTCTAAATTTTCATCTTATTTGCATCTATTTGGCTCTCAATAAGGGTCTTTAAAAGCCAGTATTGCTATATCATTTTGACAAGAACAAAGAGAGAGTCTAGTTTTGATCATGAAACACTTGTTCGAGGACCAACCAACCATTGAGAATTCTAATGAGGCATCAACTAGTGATCAATCTAAGTATGATCAAGAGATGGGGTCCAATGCAACGCCAAGGAGTGTAGATGTTTTGATCAACAAAGCTTCTTGTTGCTCTTTCCCATATCAGATGGACATAGATTCATTGCGCAAAGTAAGAGAAAGTACTTCTTCCCTGTTTGTATTTTCAGTTTTTTGTTTAAAAGATGTAACTAAAAATTTGTAATTGTAAACTGCTTACAAAATTCACTAAATTCCTACAACCAAAAAAAAAAATTTGTAGTTCACTTATTAAGAATCATTCTTTCGTCCCTCTCCAACACCTTCTGGTCACCACACTCTCATCACCACCATAAGCTATCACATCTAGCCACCCCCATCTCTAGTCACTATCATAGGCAACTTCCTCTAACCACCTTTTCTAAATAGAAACTACCTCTGATTGCTGATAATTACTGTCGTTAACCACCTTTTGCATGAAATCACCTCCGACTACCGTCTCTCCCTACTGACAACCACTTCCGAGTACTACTTTTGACAATCAAAAACTAACTTTGATCACTACCTATTGCCATCCCTTTTTACTGTTACATTTTTCAAATACGTGTATACTAAACTTGGTTTTACCAAAAATAAAAATAAAAATTTTACTTCTCATTGGACAAGACAATTAGACCCATGGATCCTGCCATAAGTTTTGTTTTGATAATTCAAATCATTTGTTTTGGGGCAAAATTTATTTTACTCCCTTGTGATTTAAAGTTTAAGTACTTTACCCTAATAGGCAAATTGACCCCTTGTTCCCTTGTGGTTTTGGATTGATTTGCAACTGGTAAATTTTCCATCCAAATAGACAGCAAGTGTATCACAAACGCCATTGTACAATTATGACTCCATTTCATTATTTTCCCTCCATAAATGATTGGACAAAAAGACATAAATGCCCCATTAGTCACTATTCATTTTCTATCCCTAAATCCTAAAAACAATCTATCTGACCCATTTATTGATTCCATCCTTTAGAACCTGAACCCTAGATATGGATCTTTAGAGAGTTTGCTACAGTGCAACAATAAAATCACTAAAAAATTTAATTCCAGCATCCATTTCATCTTACAAAAAATTGTCAGTAAATTTCAGACTGTGCATATATGTATGGAGATCTATTGGATACATGTGTACACACAAATGTTCACCAACAAAGCAATTATCCATAGCAGCTCTATGTGCCGTACAAATGGGTTTGGGTTGTTGATTAATGAGTTATGGAATTTTATTATTTCTTGTCATTGTTAGTCATTTGAATTTCAAATTTACGGGCAGTGTTGATTCAATAGAACTGGCCAACAAGCTCCCATTTTTTCCCACAAAAATGTTCCATTTTTTAATTTTATTTTTATGACATTTTCAATCTTCAAAAGGACCTCTGTGTTGTGCATGGAACTTACTATTATGCACAGGTTACCATTTTTTTTTTTTTGTGTGTGTGTGTGTGTGTGTGTGTGTGTGTGTGTGTGTGTGGAGGAGCTCTTAAAAAAATTATAGTAGAAGGAAGTGAGGAGATGGAGTAATGGAAAGAAGAGTAGGTGTCGCATACCCACGGTAAGGATAAGTGATTCCTACAATGGGTCCACAATTTGATTGCTTGCTTGATCTGACTACCTTAGGAAAGGTGCTCTGCTTTGTGTATGGTAGTACTCTGTTTTTGTTGTGAAGAAAAAGATATAAAACATTGAAGAAGAAGAAGAAGAACGTAATAAGTTTTTCCATGCAAGAGGTAAAATAGTCTTTTAATTACTAACTTTAACAGAAGTTAGATTGCAAATCAGTCCAAAGGTGATCTGCCTATATTTGAAATATATGGGGGTGAAGTGCTCCAACTTCAAACCTCAAGCGCGGAAAGTGAATTTTACCCTTTGTTTTTTTAGCCTTATGTCTGTAAATCATTTAAAAAAAAAAAAAAAAAAATTCAAATTAAACTGATAATCTTAGCAACATAAGTTTATATAATTTATGTTTAAAAAAATAGCAACAAAAGACAAATATAATAAAATTATATAATTAGAATTTTCAAATCAATTTGATCTTTTGTTCTATTTTTTTGTCACGGATTGAATTGTCTCATCCAACCCATCTAAAAAAAATATATTTAAATTTTTTTGTAAATAAAAGGTATTAATTTATAAATATTACTAAACGAGACAGATGAAGCCTAGTAAATGTTCTTGGATTGGCAATAAAAGTGGATTATGTATGTAAAAAAAAATTTAATTAATTAATTTTTTTATTTTTTTATTTTTTTTGGCAGTGAACAAGGTTGTTTTTGTTGATGATGTGCAGGTTTTAGCAGAGGCATTGGGGACATTCATTCTGATGTTTTGTATATGTGCAATCATAGCAATCACTCAGCTTATGGGTGGCCAAGTTGGCCTCTTGGAATATGCAGCCACGGCAGCTCTCACGGTGGTGGTGGTGATTTTCTCCATTGGAGCCATCTCTGGAGCGCATGTCAACCCTTCTATCACTTTTGCCTTTGCTACTTTAGGTCAATTTCCATGGTCCCAGGTACTAATAAGAGTCATGTCGTCTTAGTCATGTTTGTGTCATCTCCTATCGTATCGTTTAAGTTGTGTGTTAAAATTCTCTTAATAATAATCCAATTTATTTATTTATTTTTGTTATTTTTGAGTAGTTCGCGTTGTGTTAAAAAATAAAATTTAAAAAAAAAATCTACCCTTATTTTGAACTCTTTTTTTTTTTTCTTTTCATTAAACTAATCTTTACTAAGTGAAATTGTTTATAAAAATATTAAATTTCAGCTCAATTCTATTCTCTCATTTCGAAAAACTAAACCTAATTTTATTTTATTTTTCAAGATTGACTGAAAAATAATAAATGAAATATCAGATTATCTTAAGAGAAAAATTGAAATACTATTGTCCCCAAAACCTTCTTTCACTTTTTTTTATTCAACTGGAAAAGTTTATATAAGAGACTTAAATATATCATAATACTCCTTAGTCGAAAACTAAGCATCTATTAATTATTCGTATCAATTTCATGTTATACATATTTTACACTGACCTGGTCCATTTATTTATTATGTTATCTTGTCGTGTCATAATTAAGTTCGTGTCCAAAAAAATTATCAGCCTTAGCTTGCTGACTCATATACAATTAGGAAGTGTCACTTGATTCTCGAATTTATACTCTTCCGGTGGGCCCTAAAGACCTTACTTAGGATATGTGCCTGCTTTTTTTTTAAATCCATTTGATTTCAAACTCTCCAATATTTTTGGAATCAGAAAACTGAAAGTTTTTGTGATTTGATTTTGAAGGTTCCACTATACATAATAGCACAAATCATGGGGTCAACATTGGCAACATATGTGGGAAGTTTAGTATATGGAATAAAATCAGAACTGATGATTACAAGACCATTGCAAGGATCTACTACTGCCTTTTGGGTGGAGCTCATTGCGACTTTCATCATCATGTTCCTTGCTTCTTCTTTGGAATATCAATCTAAATATGTAAGTTCAAATCTTCACACTCTCCTCCTAATAATTGCAACTGGCATAGCTTCTAAGGTCTTCTTGTTGCAACTTCAATAGCCTGCTTATAATTTAAATGAAAATTAATTTTTTAAAACTATTTTCATGTTTGGATACCAGAAAATTAGATCCAAACTTGTAATTTGATAATTTTTTTTTTTAATTTTCTGCAGGTAGGCCATTTGTCAGGATTCGTTGTTGGGACGGCGATTGGACTTGCAGTTCTAATCTCAGGGCATGTCCAAACACTACCCATGTCTACTAATTCTTGAATTTTTAATTTTATTTTTTTCTTTTTCTTATTATATTCATAACCATCCTTTTGATATTTGATTGCAGGCCTATTTCAGGAGGGTCAATGAACCCGGCAAGGTCATTAGGGCCTGCAATTGTTTCATGGAAATTTGGCAATGTGTGGATTTACCTCATTGCCCCTACTGTTGGAGCTGTTGGGGGTGCATTGCTGTTTCGTGCTTTACGACTTCAACATCATCCTTGTGGCCCTGATTCCTCTCCTAATACCACACGGCTAAGGCAACCGTCACATTAGCTTTTGTTTAAGGATTGTTGCTTACAATGTCATAAACATTTGTAGTGGCTATAATATGTGTTTCAATTTCATACCATGCTCTGAATTCAATATGAAAACTAATAATAGTATTATAGTAAAGGAATGAAGATTGAAAACAAAGAAAATTAAGCATTCCCTTGATTTGAATTTGTGTTATGATGTTAATTCATGCACACAATGCTTGATTAAAATGCTTTCAAAATGGAATATTGCCTGGAAGAGTTTTAGCTGAGAGGAGCATAGTGATATATATAAATAAAACTTATAAACTCGTTTTAACAAATTGACGTGGCAGTTATTGAGTGCATTCCTTTTCTGTCATTTTTTTATCTAATCAAATAAAATGGTATGATAATTATTGCAAAGAGAACAAAACGTCAAAATTAAAATGATATATTACCAATGTCATATTGAAAGATGAGTTCATCAAATGACCACAAAATCTAAAAGTCACACCCAACGATTAATTTTAGTACACTGCACTTAATCAACGCTAAAATCATTAAGCCTTACAGCCCAACACCACCTATAATCTTCTACGACTCCGTGTTGCAGGTAGGTAGAAATCTGTAGTTGAAAACATCTTAGTTTAATCCTTGGAACCCCAAGAAAAATGGGAGAAGAAGAGTGATTGATTTGAAACACATTTTGATAAAAATTCTATTAGAGCTCCTAACCAATGCCAAGTGTATGAATGCACCGATCATCATTTTTAGATTGGCAATGAATTTGTAATTTTGTCAATCTAAAAATGATGACCTAGTTATGCATATCCTAAGTATAGGTTAAATCGAAATTTTTCATGGATAGACAACATGTTGCAAATAAAGTGGCATGCCAAGATGGGTAAGGGAATGAACAATTTGCTCACTGTGAAACTTATGTTGTCAAAATGATGGTGTTATTTATCGGTGCTTTGAGTTGTTGCCTTAGCTCCTTATGCATATATATGCCAAACTCAATTGAGCCTAAGTGGTTCAAGATGGCAAGTAATTTATATATATGAAAATTAAGGGGTTGTTTGAGGTTTACTTTTATTTTTGACTTTTTACGAAAAATATACAGGAAAATAAAGAAGTGATGTGACCCAAATAAGTACACTTATTTAAATCATCTCCAAACAACCCCTATTTGAACCTATGTGTGGATTTTGTTAATTCACGTTTAGTTACTGGTATCTAATGTGATTATAAGAATGTGGATAGGGTGGACGAGGGAGAAGGGGGTGAATTTCTTTGATCAATTGTAATTACGGATGCAATTGTTACATGTATTATTATTAGGGAAGTGTTTGGGATATACGCAATTCACAAAATTATGTAAGCTTTCACGAATTTATATGAGTGATCTTATAAAAATACGTAAGGTAAATATAAATTTCCGTAATTCTATTCATAGAAGTTTTAAAATTCACAAAATTACGTAAGTTTTTACAAATTTACATAAGTCATCATTTCACAAAAACGTATAACTCAAATCACAAAATGACATAATAAAAGTACATGCATGTGGTTTGCAATGCACACCAAAGAGTTTTCCTCTAATCCTATAATAAAAGATGGTTGAAACCAAACTTTTTTTTAAATAGCAAAAAGCAAACATGAATGGGATAAAAATAAATTCTTTTAACTAAGGCCAAGTTTGGAAAAACTAAATAAGTCTATACTTTTTATCTTTTTATCTTTTTTGGGTCATATCAATCAACATCTCCTCTCTACTTTTTTACACATCTTTTTATAAAAAGTCAAAAAGTACACTTATTTAGAATATCCCAAACAACCCCTAAATGAGAGGGTAATTTGTGTGAAGCCTGGGCCGAGCTAAGACCGATAAAAAGTGGGCTGAGCTGTGGGTCGAGGTAGATGGACTTCCCGATTTGGCCCTGTTAGCTCGGTCATAAATGACTATATTTAGCTCGGTCTAGGTATTTTTAATAGAGGTATAGATGAATGGTGGCCGAGCTAAGCATTGCCCGTGAAAGCGCCGAGCTAAGTATGTTAGAAAGTTGGAGATAGCTCGGTTGTGCTGTTATTCTACCGTGGTAAACCTATCCCACTTGGTTAAGCAGTAAGGAGGGGGTAGAAAGATGAGCATTATCTTTCTAAACTCCTAGGAGGGCTCTGTTAAGGAGAGTACAGTCCTACTAGGATTGTGCAAACCATCTCACTTGGTTAGTAATGAGTAGGGCGTATGATTCCTAGAAGGACTCTTATAAAGAGAGTTGAAATCCTACTAGGATTGTGCCAGGCAGAATCTATAAAAGTTTATAGCAGGACCCATGCACAAGTATCACAACTTTGATTCTCGAATACATAGAGCTTTTGTTTATTGTCCATTTTGCTGACTTAGGCATCGAAGAGGTATCCGGCACACACCCGCCGACTAGCTCATGTTTGTGTTTTCAGAAAGTAAAGTGACGACGTTTGGAGGAGCGCAAACTTGATCAACAGGATTATACGAGAAAATTATTTTGTACTCGTACACTAAACAATTTGGTCAACTCTCAAAACATGTTACCTATTTGGGAAAATGTGACATTATGGAGGCCTCTATAAATGTAATTTAAGCCTAAAATCCTTTACAAGGTGCTCAGATTAAAAGTCCAAAATTACATTTTTTTTTTTTTTTTTTGTTCAAAGATTCAGACATTGAAATAGTATGTCCATAAGGACAAGCTTAGGTAACATGACCACACTACCCACACACACACACATATATATATATATATATATATGCTATACGGTAGAACACTCCCAAATCAAACCATTTGCTCTCTCTCTCTCTCTCTCTCTTTTTATCACTGACACAACCACCCATCATCTCAACCTCCTCCATCGCCATCACCAACCACTGAAACCTCTCTCTGGCATTGCTCCGCCGCTGAGAACAGTGCCAGCAGAGCTCTGATTGCGTACTCCGTTACACGTATTCTATCGTACCATCAAATCCAAAATCGTCGTCCTCCTCCGATCGTGCCACCATTAGGGTTACAAACAAGCCAAGCCGAGTTGAGTTTTACTATGTTCGAGCTTGACTCGACTTATTTGCAAAATGTTTGAGCTGCTCAAGCTCAAAACAAGCTATAATATCTAAGCTCGAGCTCGACTCGTTCAAAATTTATGTAACTCGAGCTCGGCTCATGATGGCTCGTTAAGCCAAGAGAGAACCATGGAAAACAATAACCCTCTACACTTGTATAGAAATTTGTCCACCTTAAAATGTATTTTGCAATCGATGTGGGACTTCCAACAAATGCACCAAACGACGTCGTTTGGCACAGCATGTTATTGTAGTCTTTCAATCCCACATCATTGAAGAGAGAAAACGCACAAAGTCCTAATGCTTATAAAATAGTGAGTTGTTGACAACTATAACATTAGTCAAAGAAAGGAAAGCAAGGGCAAAGCTTTCATACATAGAAGGATTATTTTTTATTAAAATAAACATGATCATTATTAATGGTCAAGTTAAAATATTTTAACAAATACAACTATAATAATATATATATGTATATATTATATAATAAAATAAAATACACATATTTAAAAATTAATATGTATATTTTTTAACACGCGAGCTTATTCAAGCTGAGCAATATTAAGCTCAAGCCCGGCTCATTTATTAATCAAGTTTGAAATTTAAGCTCAAACTCATTTATTTAGTTAGCGAGCCGAGTTCAAACGAGTCTTAATGAGTCGAACTCGAGTTTGTTCATAAATAGTTCAATTCGTTTGCAGCTCTAGTCATCATTGCTCCTCTTCTCTCTCGAACCAAAGCTCCGTCATTTGTGAGAGAGAGAGTGTAGAACAAATCTGAGAACCGTCTCTCTCTCTCTCTCTCTCTCTCTCTCTCTCTCTCTCTCTCTCTCTCTTCTTTCTTTTCTTTCTTCTCTCTTTCTTCTCTTCTTTTCTTCACCTCCATTGCTACCGATCTGAGTAGATATGTGTAGTTGAAGGAGGCTTCATACTAAGCAAAAAAATGGATGTTAAAGTTTCGAATCTGCACACTGAATTAGGACTCAACTCCCTCGATCAGTTTCTCTTCGAGAAAAAATATATTTTAGGGTAATATTTCAATCTTGAATGGCAGAATGTTGTTGAGATTTGTTTATTTTGATTTGATGAAATGATGATGATCACAGGGATAAACGTGGATAGTAGAGTGTTAGAGTGTTCTTTTTCGTATTTTGTATTCAATCTTGAGCAACAAAGTGTTGTTGAGATTTGTTTTTGGTGCTTTGGATCTTTTCTTCTTCTTCTTTTTTTTTTTGTATCTGTCCATATCTGCCCAAAGTAGCTTTGAATATGTTTTTGGTAGCTTTGGATATTTAGTTAGCGAGCCGAGTTCAAACGAGCCTTAATGAGTCGAACTCGAGTTTGTTTATAAATAGTTCAGTTCGTTTGCAGCTCTAGTCACCGTTGCTCCTCTTCTCTCTCGAACCAAAGCTCTGTCATTTGTGAGAGAGAGAGTGTAGAACAAATCTGAGAACCGTCTCTCTCTCTCTCTCTCTCTCTCTCTCTCTCTCTCTCTCTCTTCTTTCTTTTCTTTCTTCTCTTTCTTTTCTCTTTCTTCTCTTCTTTTCTTCACCTCCATTGCTACCGATCTGAGTAGATATGTGTAGTTGGAGGAGGCTTCATACTAAGCAAAAAAATGGATGTTAATGTTTCGAATCTACACACTGAATTAGGACTCAACTCCCTCGATCAGTTTCTCTCCGAGAAAAAATATATTTTAGGGTAATATTTCAATCTTGAATGGCAGAGTGTTGTTGAGATTTGTTTATTTTGATTTGATGAAATAATGATGATCACAGGGATAAACGTGGATAGTAGAGTGTTAGAGTGTTCTTTTTTGTATTTTGTATTCAATCTTGAGCAACAAAGTGTTGTTGAGATTTGTTTTTGGTGCTTTGGATCTTTTCTTCTTCTTCTTTTTTTTTTTGTATCTGTCCATATCTGCCCAAAGTAGCTTTGAATATGTTTTTGGTAGCTTTGGATCTATTAATATCCAGATCTGTCTAAGGCAACTTCATTTTGTACAAATAATGGATCATCTATGTAGTGGTGTTGTTGTTGTTGTTGTTGCTAATGATGATGATCAAACAGATAAATTTTTGTTTTTGTTTTTGTGTTGAACAGATAAGGATGTAGGAGAGAGAGAAATAAAGAGAGAAGAAAGTTTTCAATAGATAATAAAATATGTTTAAAATTTGAATAGATAAAATATTAAATAGACAAAAAATTGAACATATGGTTTTAAACAGATAAGTGTAAAAATTGAACAGATAATAAAATTTAGATAGATATTTGAACAGTTAAGGGAAAAAAATTTCAACAGATAGGAAAAATTTTAAACAGATAGTCAACGAAAGTCAACAGATAAATTAAGAAGTAAAATTGGAAACCAAATGTCCTCTAAAACTAACAAAAAAATTTCTCACCAAACTATTTCATAAATGATGGACTTTTCACCAACAAAAACAATTCACTGGATCTAATGTTTTAGACACTCTCTAAATTACATTCGTCACCAATTTACTCTACTTTAAAAGATGTATATATATTTGATTGAAATTATGTATATTAGATTGAAGAGCATGGTTTAGCGCAGCTTTTACCCATGATAAAAAAATCTTTTGCCATGCGAATGGTGCATTCAATTGACAACTCATCCCGACTAATAGAAAGAAAATACAGTTTGTTGATCTACAAATATTGGATAATAATCATGGATAGCCATTGTATGTTGGATCAAGATTGGTGCCCAATTAAAGCTTTAGCAAAATCCCAAATGAAGCAAAGACTATCTTGTATGGCAAATAGCTTGCTGGTGTTTGATAAAGGTCAAAGGTAAAAATTAAAAATTGAAAACTGAAAAATAAATATTAAAAAATGAATATTGAATTTTTTAGCGTTAATTATATATAAAAAAAATTAGGATTTCGCGTGTTTTTCAATTTAAATTCCAGAGTTTCAATTTCGACAAATTAAAACCTAGAGTTTCATCCGTGCTTCAATATGAACCATCCACTCATCTTCGTTCATTCTCCATCTCACTTCATCTTCTTCTTTTTTTCAGATTCAAACCCACAAGTTCAAACTCTTGTATCTCCCTCATCGTAATTCTATTTCGCCTCATTTTTACATCGTTGGATTTACCTCATGGCTTAGTTTTCATTCCATCCTTCATACACCTTGTTTCACCTCTTTTGCGTGCCATCGGAGCTCCGAAAGTTGGCCAAAATTTTTTTCTCTCTTTGAACAAAATTTTTAGATTTAAACTCACATGTTCAAGCTCTTGTATCTCCCTCGTTGTAATTCTGTTTTGCCTCATTTTCGCGTCATTAGATTCATCTTATGGCCTAGTTGTCCTTCTACTCCTTACGCGCCTTGTTCCACCTATTTTTGTTTGACGGTGGAGCTCTGAAAGTTGGCAAAAAAAGAAAATTCTTTAAGCAAAATTTTTATATTCAAACTCACATTTTCAATCCCTTGTATCTCTTTCATCGTAACTCTATTTCACCTCATTTTCACATTAGTGGATTCTCATCATGGCATAATTTTCATTTCACCCCTCATATGCCTTATTCCACCACCTTGCTCCACCTTTTTTTACATGTTGTCAGAGCTCAGAAATTGGCCAAAAATAAGATTTTTCTCTTCTTCTTTTTTTTCTTCCTTCTCTTCCTCCATGGCTTCTCCTCCTGGCTTATTGCTGCTCTACTGCTTCATCATCATTATCTACAATATGAGGTGGTGATGGTTATGATGGCAGTGTCGTCGAGTGGTGATAGGTATACAACTACCCCACAAAAATCGAAAACTAATGGGTCGATAAGCATATCAAGGCACCTTGGTTTCCAATCAAGCGTTATCCATTACATCTCCATTACCAAGAATATTGTTGTGATAGCAGCAAGAGAGAGGAAAAAAGAGAGAGAAAGAGCGAGAGAGAGAGAGAGAGAGAAATCTTATTTTTGGTCCACTTTTAGAGTTTGGATGACATGCAAAAAAGAGATGGAATAAGGCATGTGAGGAATGGAATAAACTAAGCCATGAGGTGAATCCAACGACACAAAATGAAGTGAAACAGAGTAACAACGAGGGAGATATAAAGGTTTGAACATGTGAGTTTGAATTTGAAAATTTTGCCCAAAGCAAGAAAAAAAATTGGCCAATTTTCGGAGCTCTGATGACATGCAAAAGAGATGGAATAAGGCGTATGAGGAAGGGAATGAAAACTAGGTTATGAGGTGAATCCAACAACGTAAAAATGAAGCGAAATGGAGTTACAAAGAGGGAGATATAAGGGTTTGAACATATATGTTTGAATCTAAAAATTTTACCCAAAGAGAGAAAAAAAAAATTCTAACTTTTGGAGCTCCAACGACATGTAAAAAGAGGTGAAACAAGACGTATGATGAGTGGAATAAAAACTAGACCATGACGTGAACCTAACGACGTGAAAATGAGGTGAAATGGAATTACGACGAGAGAGAGGTACAAGGGTTTGAACATGTGAGTTTGAATCTGAAAGAAGGAAGAAGATTAAGTGAGACGAAGATGGACAGAGATAGACAGAGGGTTCACATTGAAATACGGATGAAACTCCAGGGTTTAATTTGTCAAAATTAAAACTTTGGGGTTTAAATTGAAAAACACACAAAATCCTTGGATTTTTTTTTTTTTTTTTGTAATTAACCCTAATTTTCTAAGTTGAAAAGTTACTTAATAAAAATTTAAGTGCTGGACTAAAATTAAATTGTTTGATATGTATAAAATCAAATTTAATATTTCTTATGTTCAAATTATATATTCTAATTTTTATATTGTGACAGTGGTGGTGGTGGTAGTAGTGGTAGCGGCATTGGTATGGTGGTAGCGGTAGTGTTGATGGTGGTGATGGTGGTAGCAGTGATGATAGTGGTGATAAAAAAATGATGGTGATGCTTCTGGCAGTGATGAAGATTGTGGTAATAGTAGTGGCAGTGGTACTAATGGTGGTGGTGGTGGTGGTGGTGGTGGTAGTAGTGGTAGCGATGGTGCTATGGTGGTAGCGGTAGTGTTGATGGCATGGATGGTGGCGGTACTGATTGTAGTGAATTTATAATAGTATATATTAATATTTATAAATTCAGTTAGAATTAAATAAATTTTATATTATTTAAAATTTTCTTAAGTTTTAGGAGTGTTTGATAATATAATTCAGCACTTAAAACTGAATTAATTTAGTGATAATCAATTAAATTCATTTAATAACTATAACTAATATCACTTAAAAATATAAATTCCTTTTAATATATAAGTTAAAATTTAAGAAAATTTTAAATTATATAAAACTTAATTCTAACTAAATTTATAAATACTAAATATAAGTATCAACATACACTATTACAAACTCATCACTACCACCACCAATACCACCGCTACCACCGCTACCACTACCAATACCACCACTACAACCACTACCATCATACCACCGCCACTATTACCACCACCAACACCATCACAATCGCTATTACCACTACTACCACCATGCCACATCCACCACCATCACTACTACAACCACCACCACCATCATGCCACTACTATTACCACTACCACCACCACTACTACCATGCCACCAATAGCACTACCACTATCGCCGCCACCGTCATCACCATTGTCATTATTGCCATAAATACCACCATCATTTACTACTATTACCACCACCACCACCACCACCACTACCACTATGCCACTACCACCACTACTACCACCAGCATCACAATATAAAAATTAAAATATATAATTTGAAAATAATAAATTTCAAATTTAATTTTATACACATCAAACAACTTATTTTTAATTGAGCATTTAAATTTTTATCAAACAATTTTTCAACTTTAAAAATTCAGTATTTGGTTTTCAATACTTATTTTTTAGTTTTCAACTTTATCAATCTTCAATAGTCTATATTTTAAAAGGTACTTAAATTTATAAGTAATATCAATTGTGGTTATTAAATGAGCTTAATTGATTGTCACTTAATATATTTATTTTAAGTGTTGGATCAAGTGATAACAGTGTATATTGATATTTATATTTAGTATTTATAAATTCAGTCATAATTAAGTAAATTTTAAATGACTTAAAATTTTCTTAAGTTTTAGTCTATATTTTAAGAGGCATATAAATTTTTAAATAATATCAATTGTCATTATCAAAAGGGTTTAATTAATTATCACTTAATGCATTCAATTTTAAGTGTTGAATTAGGTTATCAGACACTTAAAACTAACAACCTGATTCAGTACTTAAAACTGAATATATTAAGTGATAATCAATTAAGCATGTTTAGTAACCATAATTGATATCACTTAAAATTTTAAGTACCTCTTAAAATATAAGCTAAAACTTAAAAAAAAATTAAATGATATGAAACTTATTTAATTCGGACTGATTTATAAATATTAAATAAAAGTATCAATATACACTCACCACCACGACACCATTGCCACCACTACCACTGTTGCCGCTACCGCCACCACTACTACTACCACCACCTTCATTACCATTTGTTTTTGTTGCTATAAGCACCACCATCATTTTATTACCACTACCACCACTACGGTTACCACCACCACCACCACCACTATCATCTCAATATAAAAATTAAAATTTATAATGTGAAAATAATAAATTTTTAATTTAATCTTATATATATCAAACTATTTATTTTTAGTTCAAAACTAAATTTTTATCAAATTACTTTTCAACTATTCAACCTTCAATTTTTAATACTTAATTTTCAGCATTCATATTTCAATTTTCAACTTTATCAAACAACACATTAAGCTTCATCTTTTCTTCAACCTGATCCAACTATACACCTAAAAAAGTCATATATATATATATATATATATAAACTTATTATTTTGGTAATTTTTATTTATCAAATTTTGTTAATTTTTTAGTTTGTTATCTTGTATCGACTAATGTAAAAAATTAAAATAAAAAATCTATAAAAAATACATTAAAATCATGATTGATATAAGTGCATTTATTTACATAAGTATACTTATTTGGGTCATATCATCTCTCTACATTTTTATATATTTTTTCGTAAAAAGTATACTAGATCATCCCAAACAAAATGTTTTTACTTTTTTTTTTTTTTTGGTCATTTCTAAGCTTTTTTCAATTTTTTTAAAAATCTACTTTTTCCAATCCATCTACCTGGGCATAACCCAAAAGACTAAAGATTTTGAGAAATTTAAAATATATATATATATATATATAAATTATATATATATGTCACTATGAACCAAAAAAAATTAATAAAAAAATAAATCCCAAAATTAACATAAAAATGTTTGGCATTTGATCATCACTCAAATGATGATGATATTGTTGATTTTTTTATTTAATTTTTTTTTTTTAAAGCTTTGCACATAATGGCTGAGGAGCTCATAGTAGGTAGCATGAGGACACCCATGTTGAAGCATTCCTCATACCGATGGAAATATAGGATTTATAATGATAGAGAGTTTTAATTTTAGAGTTTTGATTTTAAAGCTTCAAAGAGAGTTCTACTAATATGGTAAGAGAAAAAAAATAAAAAATAAAAAAAACAAAAACATAAATATAAATATAAATATACACATCACATTATATGTAGACTCCATCCCTCATCCCATTACTAAAACCCACTTTAAAATTTTAAAATTATAATTCTCAATCTTTAATCATTTAGGACAAGTATTATACAGAGGCTCCCAAACAATGGGCCATTGCCAAATACCATGGGCATCAAACTTGTTCTGTTCAAACAAAAAAGTTCACCAACTTGTTGGTTCTGTTCTCTCTCTCTCTCTCTCTCTCTGTTTTGGATAGACTTGGTCTTTATTCTATTTTGCTACTTGTTCATGATAGATTACTAACTTTGAATATATCTATATATATATATATATATAAGAATCGCTTAATTACTTGAGTTTTTTTTTTTTAAAATTTTATCTTTTTATTTTGAATAATTTATTAATGATGACTTATATGTTGAGTGAAGGTTTTTGTCGTAATTACGCAAACACTCTTAGTTAATTATGCAATAGGTTTTTTGTAATTACGAGAACATTCTTGGTCAATCATGAAACAAGTTTTTTCGTAATTACGCAAATATTTTTGATTAATTATGAAACATAAATCTTTTATTTTTTAATAAATATAATACTAGAAATTATAACTACTGCGTTTGTTATAATTAACTTATTAATTTATTTATTAACAAAAATGATTAACTGAAAAATATTTTTCATATCATTACAAATTATTAATTTACTTATTAATAAAATTGGCAATTCATTATGTGAGTATAATTTATGTACTAATAAGATTATGAGCCATTAATATTTTTCACTGTGTGCGAATAGGCTCATAAAAATAGAAAATTAGTCTAAAGTCTTAATATTTCATGTGTAGAAAATTTTAACAATTCAAAACTAAATACAAACAAATTTGCTAATGGTTGTTGAAAATTATTGTCACTGTGTGCGAATAGACTCGTAAAATAATTTTTTTCAAAGTTTAAACCAAAAAAAAAAAAGACATATATTCTCAACCTGAAATCAAATCCTCATTTGTGTTAATTAAATTTATCAAAAATCATGAATTCCACTGGTATCAAGATATTTTTTTCTAAAAAAAAAGAAAATAAAAAGTCCATCCATACTATCATTTTTGATGAATCATTATTCATTAATAATACTCCACACTATTTATTATTTGGCATTTGTCAATCTATCTTCTAAAAACTTAACAAAAAAAATATTGAGTTTTGTTATTTTAATTAATTAATATAAATTTGGAAGCTACACACATATATAAATCACTTTTAGAAATATGATGTCTAACATAAAATCACGATGGAGTTAACTTTAATTAATGTAATAATATTTTATACTATAATATGTGTTACAAAAGAATAATAGCAATTTTAATTTAAAATAAAATTTAATTTAAATTAATTATATTAATAATCTTAGCCTTGTCGTTCTATAAAATTGTTACTTGAATACTTATATATAATAAATTTAGTTAAATTATTTGTATATTTTAATAATTTAGTTCTATTTGCTATAAAAGTGCGATTATCATATAATGATATATATTAAATTATAAGATAGTAAAATAAACACTCATTTTGACATTAAAAGTAATAGTTAAATTAGAAAGAAAATTAGTAATATAAAACTAAAAAGTGATTCTAATTATTTATTTTTATTTAAATAGAAAAATAAAAATATGTAGAAATAGAATTATACAAAATTTATTTAAAAGATTAAATATAAATATGTTGTGATTGGATTAAGAAGAAAAAACATATAAGTATGTAAAGTATTGATTTTTTTTCTTTAATATTCTTTTTGCATTATTCATACATATAGATATATAAATTTTAAATTAAATATAAATGTTTTGTAATAAATAATTTCATGTTAAATAAAAAACTAAATATAAATTAATATTAAGACAGCAATAAGATAGACAAAAAACAAATAAATGTAAAAAAAATTAATTTGATCCATGTAATACACATAATTAAGCATATTTTGTCTTATTTATTTTTTTGTATATTGAGATAATTTTTTTTTCAAATAATAATAATTAAATTAAAATATCAACTATCTAAAAGAAATCTAACAATGACAAACTAAATACATGATGAAACATATATGGAAATAAGTATTTCTTAAATAGAGTTCATATAAAATTTATTATTATAATTGAAATTGAATTTGTGTAAAATTTTATATGTAAATGGAAAAAGCATGTTGATGTAAATTTTTTAGAAAAAAAAGTAAGTTTTTAAAATGTGTCACCTAAGTAAGGGAAAAACACGACTTTTATATATATAACTAATAGTGATTCTAATTATTTAATTTTATTTTTATTTTTTATTTATTTGAAAAATAAAATTATGTAGAAATAGAATTACACAAAATTTATTTAAAAAATTAAATATAAATATGTTGTGATTGGATTAAGAAGAAAATACATAAATTAAATATGTAGAGTATTGATTTTTTTTCCTTTAATATTCTTTTTTGAATTAAATATAAATGTTTTGTA